GCACCCCTCGCCGGCCGGCCCGGCGACAGGGCGGCCCGGACCGGCCGCTAGAGCTGTTGCTGACCCGTTTTTGCCCCCGACCAGGCCCTCGAGCGGAGAGTTAGAGTCATCTCGGCCAGTTAGGCTGGCAGACAAAGCCCGGCTCATCTGCCTCACTGTGAAAGGGTTGTGGGCTGGCGTGGCAAAGTCAGTGTATGGCTTTATCCTTGGCAGCATTTGTAACCGAGCTGGAAATAAGATGCGGCAGGTGAAAGGAGTTGTTTATTATTTCCCATACATACGAAGGATACGGAGTCTGTTGTTTTACCCTTATCAATGGTCCAAATCTGATTTAGGAACCTGATAAACAAAGCATTTTAATTCATTTACTCTTGCCCGCGTCTTCTAATGAAAGAAAATGGATGAAATCAAGAAGATGACAAGCGCGAATAATTTTATTTTATTTTAGATATTTTACTGCGTAAGGACCGCGCTCTAAATGATCCATCATATCATGATAGTCGATAACCATTTCTGAACGAAAAATGTGTGCTTGAGTGTAAAGTCTTAACCGTTATTAATACGGTGTTTGGTATGAGCTTGGACTGATGGCTGAAGCTGGGATCTGAGATTATAGGTAGCACTGCAATAGCTGAGAAATCGTGCGGTCTTCACGAATGTAAATATCAGAACTAGTATGTTGCGTTTTGGTCTAGATTGGTTTCCCTTCCGTCAGTAGAAAACGTTACGCCGGCCGTCGCTGCCGATTTCTGCGACCCGCGCCTCCCCGTCCCCGTCCCCGTCGGCGTCGGCGCGCTATATTAGGGCATCCATCAGGGCTACTCGGCTGGGATGGGCAGTGTGACAGCTCTCCCTCCCCCTACGACAGAGGCTCGTGTCACCTCACCGACCGAGCACGTGGTCGGCGACACACAAAGACGGCAGGGAGGGGGTCTACGGGGTCAATGATACCCCGTCACACCCGAGGCAGGACTGTGTTCAACGGAGTGAGCGAACGCGGATGTAAGACCGACCCAGATGGAGATATTGCTACCCACGTCCATCCACCCACGCGACGGTAATGGTGCTCACATGAACTACTCGCGTATTTAAAGTGGTGCGGAAAGGCGCAATTTTCCGCCTGGAACTACATAGGTACAATATTGGAGCTGACAGACTTCCTTGTAGTTGTCGCTGGTCGACAAAGGCATGAATCTCCAAGGCCTATAAGCATTTCATATCAATAGGTGGTTGCAGGCGGCAGCACAAATCACTGAAGGTTCATTAGATGTTGGCACTGCTCAGATCCGTGATATATCTATAACCACTCTATACGGGAACTGACAGTACTTACGACCCAATGTTCTAGTCTCTAGGCACACCAGACCACCAGCAATGTGTCGGCGTAGACTGTGCACTGTGCGTGCTTCTTGTCTCATCTAAAACCCAAGTGGAACAATGTGCTAGTACGACTAGGCTGCTCGTGTTTGGGGCGTAGGCCCAGAATAGCACCGGCCTCACAGAATCCTGCTGAAAATCGATGGCGACGGCACGAACGAACCGACCTATATTGATTGACCTGGTTGACTGGCCGAATGGATAAACTGTCAGGATGGGAGGCACATTTAACTATGATCTTTTCTCTTTATTGCCCTTCATTTGTACTTTGGTGGTTGCCAAGCCTGAACAGGAACTGTGGAGCTGTAGCCTTTTATTTTTTATTTTAACCTGTGTACTGTGTAGTGTGTACTTTCCCTTCAGTGCGGTAGGTACAAAAACTTTGCTCTCAGCTGGTGTCAAACATGTTTGTTACCCTTTAATTACACCTGACTAATGCATCATGTTTCGGTATCTAATAGCTCAACATTACCTCTCGTTGAGCCGTCCCGATTTCAGCTAGCCACTGGGAAACCTTTCGCTTCCCGTCTCAGCGACCGTGAGCTCTTCTCCTCCTACTTCAGCCATGGAGAGCCCTGCTTTCTTCCCCCATTGCAGCTACCACGGACCTCTCAATCTCCCGTTGGAACTACCATGACTCCCTTTATCTCCCATTACAGCCGCTGTGATCCCCTCCCCATTTCAGTCACTGTGAACCCTTTTGACTGCTAATGCATCCGCCGTGAGCCTCCCCATTGTAGCCACGGTCAGAGGTCAAAAAAACTTATTTTGTGTCACCTACAAAATTTTTCAACCCCCTTTGTGACCCCTGCCCCCGGAGGCCGGATAAGTGTTGCACTAGGGCGGTAAAATTTGAAAAATCATAGGATTCATTAGGCCAATGTTAATGTTAGTGTCATCAATGTTAGTGTGGCCCTAAACCTGGATAATGTATTACCAGTAAAACGCCTTTTGGGCGAAGAACGAGCGAGCGAGATAGTGAGCCCTGCACGTGCAGAAGGGCGAGAGGGTACTTCCAACGGGCTTGTGCAAAGCGCCCTTCTAACCGGTCGCTAGCGGTGTACCAAATTTGAACGCAATCGGCCCAGCCGTTCCTGAGATCTGGAAGCGGCATTCTGCACGTGCGCACGTGCAAACGGGGTCCAAAATGACTTTTGCACGGCACCCTACTAACCGGTCCCCAACCGTGTACCAAATTTGAGCGCAATCGGCCCAGCCGTTCTCGAGATCTGGAAACGCCCCCTGCACGTGCGCACGTGCAGTAGCACCGTAACCGCAACACATGGGAATGCATTGTCTGGTGGGTGCCTACCTGTATGCCAAGTTTCAGCGAAATTGCCCCAGTAATTACCGAGTTACTGAAATGGGAACAAATTTGGCACCTCTTATTGTTGTATTTTGCACGTGCAGTGGGGTCACTCACATAGATGAAGAGTATCCGACCTTTGGTAGAAGGGATGCAGCTACCCTATAAAAATGACCGCAAGACAATCGCTCAAGCCGCTGCTGAGATATGGGCCTCTCAAAATCATTACTTTTGCAAAACTGCTTGAACACCCTTGACTTTTCACGTGGCACGTGCCACGGCGGTCACTGAGATGTATCAAAAGTAGTCAATTACGGGGTAGAAGGGATGGGGCTACCCAGCAAAAAAGACCGCAGGCCATTCGGTCCAGCGGTTGCTGAGATATAAGCCTCTCAAAAGCGTTACAGGCCGGGCCGGGCCGGGCCGGGCCGCTCATACTGAGATTTTTCCGTTATATTGAAAAGACTCACTTCGCTCGCTGCGCTCGCTCGCTCGTAATTTAACAGTGTCCCAAAATTTGTTGATTTGGGTGGGAAATACTGAGATTCAGATTCATTTGCCACTCTCACCATCAATTTCTAAGAGCAGTTAACTGTCAGCCAAGAACACCTTGCTACCTCAAAAGGCAGTTCAGGTGTGGTGGACTTGGACAGATGGGCAGTTGGACTGAGTTGTGTGGATACTTGGAGTTGGTTTATGATCATAGATACTCATGGATAAAAATAAATGCTTATGATCTTTTCTCACTCTTTTTGTATCAAATCTAACCAGCAGTTTCCAGTTTCCACCCTCTACCCCTTTTTGGTGGATAATATCCCCCTCTGACACCCCAGCCAAAACTCAACTTTGGGACACTGAATGCATGTGTAACTAATCTTGTGCAGATGCATTTAAGAATTGCTGACATTCTATTTTACATTTTTCCATAATACATTTAGATTGCTGTTCCATATGGTGAGATTTCACACCTGTTATGACATAACAAATAATAGGTGCCTATGTATAATACAATATACCTACCTATGCAACATGTTGCAAAAGGTTCCTTTTCTACATCAATGCCACTAATTTTATTAAACAAAAATTATAATCATTAGATTTTTTGGTACTAGTAGGTATACAATAAGCCAAAATAAAAAGGTGTAGGTGCTAGGTAGGTGGGTTGTATGCTTCAGAGCTTGTCGGTTGGCAGGTTTAAGGTAAGGAAGTTGTAACTTGTAGGTACAGGTAGGTAGAAGGTAGATAGGCTGTAGGCTGGTAGGTAATAGGTGAAAGGGTAGAAAGTAAGATTAGGTTAGGTAATGATGTTTTTCTTTCATTAAGACTTCTTAAACACTTTACGCAAGAGTAAAAGAGTAGAAGTCGGAATGAAGGAAAACAATTAAGCCTGAACCAAACTTACATACCTACCTTCTAACCTACAACCTACCTACAACATACCAACACAAAACAGAAAACCTACCAGCCTACAACCTCCCAGCTTACAACCTACATACCAACCTACAACATTTTTTTCGGAGTCCTTGGACTGATATGGTACTTTTACCAGCTAATGAAAATTGAAATTCCTGCTCTTCTAGGGCTGAACAAATTAAAATCAAAATGAAAGTTGTGTCAATATTAACACAAAACACCTACTCATTGACAGCTTTGGCAAGTGTTTCAAAATCAGGCAACAAATCCAAATAGCCTTGCTTTTGATACCCACAGGGCTAGCGTTGTTATATCCAACTTACAAGTACCCAAACCAGCAAAATTAGACAACCCAAGATTCCTTACTTCCAGTGTTATGTCCTGCCTTGCTTAAAACAGAAAAAATCATAACCACAATACAACTCAGCTTTCATCACGGCGCCAGTCCCTTTCTTGAAAGCATTCAAACTTGTTTGAAAATTGGACAAGCACTGAGCGCTACTCGCGAGAGTCCACTCCTGTTTTGCTACGTGTTCATGATCACAGTATGCCTCTCGCCGAAAAGGCCCGCTCAAAATCTTTGATGCGTTGGCTCCTGGGGCCTACAAAATCCACAGTGAAGGCTCCCTGGCGGCTGGGGCGTCAGCTCAGCGTTGTCCCCTCGTGTCACCAGCATCCGATTGGTTCGCTCAGGGTTATTCTCGCCGCGGATTGGCTGGTTAGTCTGTTCGCTAGCAGTGTGCGCAAACGCCGTCAACAAATGCGATGCAGTGTGTTAACCATTTTCGTGACTTTGTCACCAAATGTCTCTGGTGCCTGCCAGCTTCTGTCGCCTACAATGTAAGCGAGTAGGAAGTTTTTTTGACCTCTGGCCACGGTGAAGCCCTTTTACCTATTGTTTCAGCCACCGAGACCTAAAGCCGGAAAACCTGCTTCTTGATGAGAAGAACAACATTCGGGTGGCCGATTTCGGCATGGCCTCGCTGCAGCCGGACGGTCATACGCTGGAGACGAGCTGCGGGAGCCCGCACTACGCCTGTCCAGAGGTGATCCGGGTGAGTACAGAGGTCATCATGTGTACCGACATATCCGGAGGTCACCAAACGCCTGTCCAGAGGTCATCCGGGTAAGTACAGAGGTCACCAGCACTCCGTCTGTCCATAGGTCTTCCGGGTGAGTGCAGACTGTCCAGAGGTCATCCGAGGTCACACATAGGTGCAGAGGTTATCAGGGTAAGCAGAGATCATTGCGATTAGATCTTGACATCCAGAGGTCACCAGACTACTGTACAGAGGTCATCAGAGTGGGTACTGACGGGCTATCCTGCCCATCGGTTTCGCATTCCATACCGAATGCTAAAATGTAGATTGTAGGGCTATCGTCGAAGCTAACAAATTTAGATAAAATCAATCGGATTGGAATGCATAGAGCTTACTGGTGTCACATTAACCAATAATTTCGTGTAGGTGAGCACTGCCTCTCTTGGAAGCCTGTCAGGTCTGTAGCCACATATCTTTCCTGGCCATGACAGTAGTCTGGGCAATCTTCTAGCTATCATTTGGGAGCACATTTCACTGACGGCCGCGGCCCGGGTCGTCCATCGTGCCGCGGTCATCCTCAGTGTGTGCGCGCGTGTGATCGGCATTCAGGCGAGGTCCAACCCTCAGCCTGCGTCGGCTCAGCCTTGTCCAAACGACCGCTGGCAGCGGCGGCCGGCCGCGGCGCAGCGAAAATGGAAATGAGTCGGGCAAATGGTGCGTGATTTCTGAGACACAAGCACACACGCTGACTAATGTCCAGTGGCTGATTGTATGCCAACTAACGCCAACCATTTGTCTCAGTTAACCTGGAAGTGTGACAATTATGCATGATAAGTGTGTTATATGAATTATTAATAATCATTGCATGAATGAATAGCTCATATTTTCTTTGAGAACTTTGGATATTAAACAAAGTTCAAAGCTGGAACAGTCAATAGTACAAGATGCACTGGATGTGATGCGGAGCAGATGTTTCTAAAATCACAGGTGCACTTAGCGGGCTTCATAATGACATCGTGATGTGCTTTTTTCATCTGTAGGTCCGACATTAGTCGTTTACGGGCCTGAAACTATGGCACTTGCCACCTGGCACCTACTGCACTCGTGGCAAACAATCGTTGGGTACGGAGAGCGTGAAGATACTAGGTACTGAAGATGTATTCGGCTACTGTCGACTGTGCAGTATATCACATCTGATTCAGTCTGAGCTTGACCATATTGCATACTTTCAGTGCAGATGATTATATATTGGCACCTGTCATCCAATATGGTTGCAGCCCGTTGATGTGGTCCTCATGCAATCCACATTCCACATTCGCCAGGATGTTCATCTGATACGTCTGATGCAGGCATCCTTCTCTGCCTTTGATCTCATCATATCTCGCTCCAGCGACAGACATTTCACCTCCACATTGCACAGTGCTTCGATTCGACCCTCTTTGCCTGATATTGGCAAATACAATAATATTTTGAACTACTTTCAGTTTCAACCATATGAAATTAATTCACAGAGAACTGCGTCCTGTGATGAGTAAGTCTGTATGCTTACATTGCTTACTTACATAACCTGAACCTGAATGCTCACGCTGACATGAACTAAATTTATGACATATCATAATTTCATTTGATAACTCAACTGCTGATTTCACCAATCAACCCGTCTGACGCTGTTGAATCGGTCAGCGCAGCGTGGGTGAGTTTGACGTGCCGTGACCTTTAAATGTCCGCCACCGCCGCACCTTTGTTTGCCTTTAGTACACGGGGAGACAGTACATAGCACGCACATAACCCGTCCAGACCGGTCGGTCTGTCCGCGTAGAAACGTAGCGCCACGGCTGCAAAAACCTGGCAGACGGCGCCGGACGGCTGAAAAACTGACGGCAGGGAGTGGGCGGCGTCCAAGACAGAGAGTGGGCGGCGTTGCTGGTCGTCCCTCGGCACATCGTGACAGGACAGCTGGCGCAGAGAACCGACCCTTCGTGACGGCTGGTGACCCTCTCCAGAGCCGGGCTCGGGTCAGAGATCCTACACAGATGGAGCCACGCCACCCCGCGCGGAGCTTTTTGTGACATTGTTTTGATATTGTTTATCAGACGTTCACTATGTCAGGTTAAGATGATGTAAGTAGCACTGAGCGGTGATATGCCGTGAGGAGAATCCTCGTCGCGTAGCGCTGTTACATGGGCCGGAGCTGTTTTCACTGATGCTGTCAAGGTGACGTCGCGGGCGTTGAATTGGATATTAACTTTTTGTTGTGGTCTGGGTGACTTGTAACCAACTGGTTACGTGCTGCTTGTCCTGCCAACAGAGGTCATATCGGACCAAAGGACCCTAGTACAAGGTGAATGCACTGGTTCGCGGGGCGAGACTTTTATCCTGAGGCGAAGGCGTTTTGGTGAGGCCTCGGCATGCATGGAGGTCTTAATGTTTTTCTTTTTCTTTTGGGGTATATTACATCTGATAACAGTGTTCGTGGTTAGGTAATGGCAGCCTCGGTTGAACGCCCCTGAATCACCTTTAACTGAATATGTCATCAGTGCGTTTGTATATTGGTGGCTACCATTTTGTTTATTATTTTGAGTAGGATGTATTTTTGTGCATATTTTGTTTGTTAAATTACAGTTGCAGTGTAATTACACTTCCTATTTCCTTCAATAACGTTTTGTTGTTAAGCATTGTGAATTTATAAGTGTTCCAATCAGATAAGTTTTTAAGGTAGTGTGGGGTAATTTGAACATATTTTTACGTCTTCTCCGTTGTACTAAATTCCAGCTTAACCCTGGATGAAGAAAAACTGCTTCAGTAGCGCAACTGTCACTTGCTTTCACCATGCAAGCCTCATTTTTGGACGAGCCGAGCATGCCTTGAAAAGCATAGCCTCACTTCTCCACCAAGTCACGGTGTGTTCAAATGGCCCCACCGTGGGGTAATTTAAACATAATGCCTTTAACTGTCATAAAAACGATAGTCTCGCCAACGCCGATGTTGTTTGACCCATAAACAAATAGGCAAAACAATTCTCAACATACGTTCACTTGAAAAATCAACACAACAACAAAAATAACAGTTACAGAGTATCAATATCTGCACGCTGCACACCGGTCAGTTGACAGAATTCGCCTGTCTTCAATTAACAGAACGTCTATCATTTTTGTTCGATAAAAACTCTCCCATCCTTACTGCATCTGGTATAGTGGTGCCAATCGAAACCTGGACATTTGGAGTTCTGATTTTGTCCAATGTCCAATTCGAAATTGGTAGGACAAAGGTAGCAGACTGGACAACATTGGACGATGGCTTGCTACACTTCAGCGCTTTTTATAAAGTAATCGTGCATAGTATTGATTGGCGAATGGAAAGCTTGTTAACCCGCGCACCGACGGGGGTCTGCGCCAACTTCGCACCGACGGGGGGGGGGGGGCGGATGACCGCCCCCCCCCTGAGATCTCGAGAACGAAGCAAGATAGCGACAAGCGGTAAACGGCATCGGATACGCACGGCCAAGATCTACAATTTTTACAAAGGTCATTTTCAGGTCAGGTCAAAGATGACGTCACAGGGGCCGAAAAAATCAAAATGGCGGCGCTAGATATGGAGAGAGTTTTTCTCGAATAACTTTCGAATTAGTCAAGATAGGAACAAACTAAGGGCATCATCGTGATCCTCTCGTCAATCCGCATCGAATGATATATATGTTGACCTCGAAAGGTCAAGGTCAAAGGTTGACCTCAGGTCACGTGACCTCGAGGTCATCATGTATGTCATACGATGCGTCTTGACGAGCTGAACACAATGAGACCATCCACGCGTCTGTATCTTGTTCCTGTACGGAGTTATTGGCAAAAAACCTTTGGTGACCTTTGATGACGTCATATGACCTCACAGCTGCCCAACAGCAAAACAGACCTCAAGGTAGTGAAGGTTGATCGTATATGAAGTCATGTATGGTATATGGGGCCATTCCGACCCGTTTTAGTGGTAAAAACAGGGAGTTGATTTTTCCCCCATTGACTTATAATGGGGAGGTCGCGAAATTGACCTGACCTTAGGTCACCGATATCAAAATTCCGAGATATACAAATTGTAGCTACTTATGACCTAATAATATCCTGCGACTTTCAAAGGCCTCCGACATCTACTGTAGCTCTGGCACGGTGACAAAGTTGCAAAAAAGTGACTTGAGGTTGGGTCATTCAAAGTGACCTGGTGACCTGACCTTAAAAGGTAGGAGGTTCAAACTTGCACACCATGTGTAAAATTGATGAGGTTATAGTCATACCAAATTTTGCGGCGCTACGCGCCGCGGTTTTCCCGCTATTCGCGAAAAAACTCAGGGGGGGCGGATATCCGCCCCCCCCCGTCGGTGCGCGGGTTAAGCTCTCAATATAATGAACACTTTTCGGCTGGTAAAAGTACATTATAAACAGTTTAAATGACAGTTTTGAGTGTTTATTAATGCGTAATTTTCGGACATATTTGGACAAATGGCTGACTTTAACATTTTTGAACGGAAATCAACAAAAATGCCGGACATTAGACGGATATTAGACGTAAATTTTATAAAACTGGCATCACTTATCTGCTGCTGCTTTGGGTCGAAAATATTGGCAAAAAAAAAACTGGGAGCGTTGTTTTTTCCAAGCTATCCCTGTCTTCATTGAAATTCCCACACTATGTTCAAATTACCCCACGCTAAAAGTTATTTTGCCATATTTAAAAACAGGTTTCAAAAGCAAATTTCTTGGATTGAAGGCACTGATTAGGTCATTGTACGACAAAAGCCGTTGCGTATTAGGCGCTAGCAATGCAAGATTTTGCGCTGCAATGAAGTTGCAATGACGTATTGTTAGGCGTTTTTACTTGCGAAAATGATTTTTTACAGTGTGCGTCAGCATCTTCATTCCATGAAACTTTAAACCCCGTTCATATGATAGCCCTTTTAGTTTCGATAATTTCCCTCATTGGTCATATTGTGATGCCACTAATGGATTTTCCGTAATTTTGTGTTTTTCACA